ACCAGGATGCATTATGTAAAGGTACAATTCCCAATGAGAAATGTAATTGTGTTGTATACCTACAATGTACCAATAAAAGAATTTAATAAAAAAAAAAAAGAAACTGTGAGTCAAAATAAACCCCTCTTCTTTTAAATTGTGGGTGTCAGGTATTTTGTATCAGTTATGGGAAAGTGGCTAGGATTCTGACCCAACAAAATCCAGGTGTTGGTTACTTTCTCTTCTTTCCCATTCTCTGCAAGTTAACATGCCTAAATGCTTCTCTCTCTCTTTTTTTTTTTTTTCCGGTAGTGGGGATCGAATTTGGGATCTTGCACTTGCGAGGCAGGCACTGGAACCACTTAGCTAAATCTCTGGCCCAACATGCTTCTCAATTGTTCATCTGGAAATGTTCCACAATTTTGTCCTATCAAATGGCTTATTTTGTTAAATTTAGATGCTTAAAGCCTCCATTTCTTCATACTGAAATATATTGTACTAAGCATTTTAATTTTTAAAAATATTGCTAAGATATTTCTGTTGTTTTCAGCCCCCTAAATGCAGAAAAGAAGTGACAAGACTTTGTGTTTTACATACAAAAACTTCTACTCATTTTCTCTTTCTCTTCCTACCCTTGTCAAGATAGATTCACAGGAAATCATGAAAATCTATTGATTGACAAGAGGAAATAATACTGGAAGAAACCACGTGGGATAAGTGTGAGGTATGTAGAGCACAAGAGACAGGTAAGCATTTCTCAGTCAGCTCTGGTTACCACTGAGAGGAAAACAGGGAAGCATCTAGGGAATAGTAACAAGTATTGCCAAGAAGACACAGGTGGATTGTTAAGTGTCTCTAGGGCAATCATTTTTGGAGGCTAGATATCTTGCACCATTTACATTGCTAATAAAAACTTCATTTTGCCATCATCCTATCCCTAAATTATTTGAAGGATACCGTAAAACTAGTGATGCAACCTGGTGAAAATGTAGTAGCTTGATTTTATGAATCAATGTCATATATAAAATTAAAAAATGTGATTGGTTTTACATAGTGCATTGTAAAATAATTTGGGAGTCAGTTTTGCTCAAATATCCAAGTGCCCTAGAGTCAGAATGTGTGGATACAGCCTGTGGGCTCTTCCTCTGGTTATCATGAGGCAACAGTACGGACAGTTGGTCTTGGATGCTGCTCTTTCACTCCTGAGACTCTTGCTATTCTTCCCTGACCAGGCAAAATCCCAGCTCCCTTCACTACCATCAGCATACACATCTCACCTCAAGTAGTGAGAAGCTATAATATTTTACACTATTTTAAAACTTACCATTCTCCCTATTCTTCCCCACGTGGGTCTAGAAAACTATTAGTTACAAATGAAGCTTTAACAAAGTACAGAATCACAGATTTGGTGGCTTAAAAGAATAATTTGTCATCTAACACTTTCAGAGGATAGACATCAAAAGTCAAAGTGTGAGCTCTGTCTCTCTGAAGCCTGTAGTCGAGGATCTGTCCTTGCCTCCTCAAGTGGCTGGTAGTCCCAGTCATCCCTCACTGGTAGATATATCACTCTAACTTCTGCCTCTGTCTTTACATGGTTTTCTTCCTCCATGTCTTCACACTGTCTTTCCTCTTTCTGTAAGGACATCCATAATACTGGATCAAGGACCCACCATATTGCAGTATGACCTCATCTCAATTTTCCTGGAAAGACTTTTCAAATAAGGTCACATTCAGTGGTAGTGGGATTAAGACTACAACAACATATGTTTGAGGAGGACTAACTCAATCTATAATAGAACAGAAAGAGAAACTCTAGCTTGCTTTTGTGTTATTCAGTTTTTGTGTCTATGTCTTCTATGTAAATCTCTTCTCACTTAGAGGAAAAAGATGTGTTTCTAGTTTCATATTTCAAGAAGAAAATAACCCCTTAGAATTATGTGGAGCAATCAAGTTTTCATTGTCTTCCAATCCTCTACATTTTCCAACCAAAACTGTCCCTCCAGTTAAGGGGAATCAACTACATTTACTTAATTTCTCCTAATCTCTGCAAGTAACTCATCACCAAATCATTAATTTCCAGAAACTCAACCTCCATATTCTCAAAGATGAATCTCTGTCAGTAATATGTGAATGTCTTTTCTGGTCAGATGTTCTAAAGTCATTGTCTTCCTCCTTACAAATCTCAAATGCCTGCATATTTCATCACTGCAAATTTTGTACAGTCGTTCAGTGATGATGCTAAGAAAAGCAACATTAGAAAACCAGTTTTATGGAAGCCAACTGTACTATTGATTGTATCTGAAGATGGCCACCCAACTAGATCTCTAGGAGAAAGCACACATCACTTGGTCCTGAGACTAGGGGCTAAATGTATCAGGTGGCATGTCATGTGTTAATCAACTCTAACATCTGAGAAGCTTAAAGTATTTTCAATGCCCAAACTCATCCATGACAGTAATACCAGCACTGAGCACAGGAAATCTTACCATGTGTGACCTCAGAGACAGTGGTAGGACAGTATTAAGGATCACAAATCCACTAAGGGATCTACCTCTTAGCCTTGGATGGGAGGGAACAACCACCATTTCCTGGGATGCTAGGATTTGGATATGCTATGAGAGTATCCCCATGGGTTCATATGTTGAGAACTCAGTCCTCAGTATGGCAATATTAACAGGTGGTGGGATCTTTAACAGGTGGAGCCCATTGGAAGGTTGTTATTGGTCCCTCCATGCACTCTGGCTTCCTGACTCACCCTGTGTTCCTTCTATGATGTCATCTGCCATAGAATCCTTAGCAGAACCAATCCAATGCTGGTGTCATGCCCTTAAATCCCAGGACCGTAAACTAAGTCAACCAAAAGTTCCAGCCTCAAATATTTGTCACAGCAATAGAAAACAGACTAAAATACCTGAAAATGTTTAAAGAAAATCCTGCCCTGATGGAGTGTATATTCCAGAATGAAGAGACAGACAATAAGAAAGTAAATAAGGTATTTATGTCAGATGATTAGCCACTCATAGAGATGAGGGGGAAGGGAGCCCCAGAGTAGTGTGGGGTCAGGTTGTCAAGGAAGTCCTTGCTGATAAGGTAAGATTTGAGTAGAAACATAAAGTGAAGTACAAGCCAGTAGGTTTCTTATTCCTCTAAAATAAAATACTTTGTCAAAATTTATTATCTTTGTAAAACTTTCCCCAACACAGATTAAAATTACCTTTCAAGGGCTAAATTCAACTAGCAACAGGACTTAGACAACCTGACCCTCACTTCCATACATGTGCTCCAGATTTCTGCAAGAATGGTTCTAACTTTATTTAAACCAAACTCCTTGCAGGGCTTTCCTCTCCCAAACCTATGTGGCTTGGGACCCTGTTGAGAGCATGCACATCAGATAAAGAAAATAGGCACTGGGGAGTGAAGGGAGTTTTGCTGTTCAGTATGTAACCAGGGCCTAGTACGATGTAGATACTCAATAAGTTTGTGTTAAATTGAATTTCTTTAATTCATGCCATTCTGCTGGAATTGTATCTGGTAGCTGGGACTGATTTTCCTATTTGGGATATGCTTTTTCCACCATTATTATAGTTTTTACATGTTCTTCACTTTCCATGGTGCTGGCACATTATTGCTATGATATTTCCTTCAGCTGGGTTGCCTGTTAGATTACTGAATGTGCCAGAATGATGAGGAATCAGTGACGTAACAACATGGGATATGGACAGGAAAGGGTACATTCTTTTCTCTAAATGCAATTTCTAGATAAAGAGAACTCCCAATGCATATCCAAATGCATATTTTGAGAGTTGGATATCCAGAGGGAGGGGCAAGCTTCTCAGAGATAATCAAGCCATTTCTTTTTCATTTCCCTACTGATTTCAGCTGTTTCAAAAAAAGAAACGTAGAGGCTCTAAAGCTCGGTGTGTGTCACTGGGGGTTTGTTCCTGAGGATTGTGGAAGACACATACTGTTCTGTTGTACAATTCATTTCTCAATTTGTACCAGATGCCATTGCCAGGGTGGGGTTTCTATTTTCCCATCATGGGCTCTTGTCAAAGTCCTGCTGTTGAGAGCTATTATTTTAAATTCTATTTCATAAGGCATGTACTCTATTTAACCATTGTCTACATTTTATCATATACCAAACCTATCATTGATGGCGACAGCCACAAATCCCTGTGGTTTTCCTCACAGGAAAAAGAATCTAAGTGAAGAAGGTAGATCTGGAAAGAATATCAACTGAATTATTTTGTAGAGATTTTTTCCTCCTCTTTCTAAAAGAACTTTCACCCACTCAGACATGAAACAAAGCTACTTTACTCGAGATGGATTATATATACATCAAGCACTCATGTTCAATGTTTGTGAGAGTCTGTTATATGTTAGTCATTTTTGTAGGATGTGGAGTGAATAAAATACAAAAATTCTGAAACCCATGGCATTATATTCTGCCTTACATCATAACATGAAATGGTATCCTAACCAAAACTTTCTTTTTTCAGTGGATCATCAAGGGGTGTGGTTTGCCATTTTAACATGCCTATCTAGTTTTCCCTTGCTGGATTTTCTTATTTTAATGTACCGTAATTTATCTTATATTTAGATTGATGTATTAGCTCCTCATTATATATAATCACTGATTTAAAAAATAATAACAGAAAACATGCCAAGTTCAAACTCATTAGTTTAAGATCTTCCAACTTTCCCCTGATGCACAGCTTTTACATACCCTATGAACTGCATGTAGACCTAACAAGAAAATTAAGAGGGAAATTTTTGCCTCACAAGGACACCAGCCACAGTTTAATGTCCATTTTCAATAGGGAGGGTATTCTTCCCTTAATATGAATTGTTCTTTTGTGATTTCATCAGTTGCATACACTCTTCACACAAATCACTAAATTTAACTGGTTTGAAACTGGCTCTGACTTTAATGCCAGTTAAGTCTCTATTACCTATAGATACAGGCAATCAACTCTGGGGCTACATTCCTGCTGTTTATAGGGGAGGGACTGCTGGAAGATCAAGGTTGCTTCTCCTTCTATATTGAAGCAACAGCAGCTCAGTTAGACAGAGCTGTGTTATGATTAAGGGAGGTCCATGCCATCTTCCCAAACTGCAGATATTTTATCACTCAAGGTGAAAATGATAGAAAAATGTGGCTTGTCACACATTTGCCATAAGAGGGCAATTCCCACCAAGCTGACACTTGTAATTTTGCTTTTTTTGATGTCACCAGATGGTATAACTCGCTGCTGAAACAGTGTTGACAGTAGAAGAAAGGGAAAAAGTGAATCGGTCCAGCTAAGGATAATATTCCAAAAATAAGGAATGACAATGAAGCCTTTTCTGCATATCTCTGCATTTCATTGGAAAACCACAATCTGGAGACATGTGAATATGACCATGGCCACTGTGTAGCTAGAGATTCTGTTTCCAGGTGTGAGCTGAGCAATTTGCTCCCAGAGCTCTGCAAATAACTACCATCTTCCAAAAAAAACCCAAAAAACAAAAAAAACCACAGACTGCTGCCTTCCCATTCTCTCCTTTCCTATATAAGCAGCACATAAGCACAGTAAATAAAATGAACAAAACTAACCTTTTAAGCAACTGCCCAGAATAAGTCATTACTTGGCACGTGGCTATAACATTTGTCTATAATGGTTCTTCACAGCGTGGCATCCACTTCCAAGTAGATGTCTTGATAAATGTGACATCAAAATCCATGCCTCAGGAAAAGCTGAATTAAGATGAAAGTATTCCATTTCCAAATGAAATAAGTCTCTATGACCATCTGTGATCATGTATACAAACAATGAGCTGACCAAACACGTCTGCCACATTTGAAAACCTATTTGCTTTCATATCCTTTAAAGGTAACGAATGAAACATCCATCTCTACGTATCCTTCATGCACATGTTGTAGTCACTTATAGAGTTATTTAGGAGATGTCTTGGGTCACATACTAAATACCAAATATTATGCAAAGGGCTGAGTTATAAAGGAGTACATAACTGATGAACACAATGCCCTGAGTTTATATGGCAGCCATGGAAGAGAACAATGATGAAGAAATCACACAAACCCAAAATTATACATAAAACCTCTGTAATCTCTTCCTCGATTCTTCCAGTGTAATGGATTACTCCTTCCCCTTCCAATAGCACCATTCTTGTTTCTCTATTTAGCATTTACTTGTGTCTTTCTTACAGTATGGCTTTGCTACATGTCTGTTTTATAGAATAAGATCCACTCAAGAATACTGTATCTTATATGTATGCTACTCAAGCATCTCTCTGTTCTCTCCCCTACTACCTATATCATGCCATTGTAGAGATACAACCCATTTCCTTGTTCATGAGTGCATCTTGGAAGGTGTCAAATCCATTTCATTTTATTTTGAGTGCCTCTATTTATACAAGGGAGCTTAGAATTTATCATTGAGCCCTTTGGGACACTGTAACTTCAAAGATGAAATGGTGATCCTCAACATAAAAGTAATGGGCTATAATAGCCCCTGAGAGGAGAGCAGCTGGCCCAAAGGCATAGCCAATCATATAGGAAACGGAACAATTTTATTAGACCCAAGGACTGAAAGTTAGATGAATGCTGGTTGACATCCATATCCAATCTTTGGTAAAAGAAGAAAATAAAGGTAAAATGCTGTTTTTTAGTCAGCTAATATTCAACTAATGGTTAGAGTTCCTTCCTAAAATGTGCCTTTTTATGAAATAATGGTGACAATGGATGGTAGTTTTTTAAAAAAGTGTTAAAATTTAAAAAGTAGTGGGTTTTTTCATAGAAGTTTTTAAAAAGTATTAAATTTTAAAGAAAAAGAAGTTTATATCACTCTTCATTTTTTTTTACTGCCATATAAAATCTAAATATGTGAGAAGCTCTGGCCTATGATATCTGCTTTCACAGGCTTGAAGAGCAAGGGACAAAAGCCAACTGAGATATACAAGCTAATGTTAGGAGGCAGCTTACAGACTGATGTGCTTCACAAAGGCAGAAAGATTTAAGAACTTCCAAAAGATAATTTTTTGGTAGGAAGCCCTCCAAATTCAAAGATATTGAAGAGAGATAAATTCAGCTTCTTCCTTGGATATGAGATTTCTTTTTCAAATAAAGATGACTAAACTAGAATTTTCCACAGTGCTTACAATTGATGTCATAACTATAGGTCTGATTAAAAGAATAGAGAAAAAAGGACATAAAATAGGAAAAACAAGAGAAATGAGAGGAGGCCACAGAATTCCAAATGAATAAGGATTAAAAGGGACAGTGATGGGAGAAAGTGATAAAATCAAAATGGGATAGAAATTGGATATTTCATACATAAGCAATTATACTTATATGTACATATACACACTGGCAATTGATATTAAAACCATGAAGGCAATTAGAAAAGCAGGTAGCTCAGGAACTCTGAGTTGCACTGATTTTTCCTTACTTTGCCAAAGGACAGAAAACCAAGCCTGCAAATTACCCAAAGCCTTTTTAACATGAAAGGAAGCAATTCATATTTTCACTTAGGCGACTGCCAAAGTCAAGCGCTGAGAAGGCTAAAATGAGTTACATTCCTGACATGTAAGTTTCTTCTCCTTTGCTGTTAAGATTTATATCTGGATGTCTTCCCAGAGCCTCATGGGCTCATAGGTGTGGCTTTGGGGAGGTGATTGGATCATGGGGGTGTGATAGTCATCAGTGGATTAGCCCATGCTATCTCCCTCCATCCTCCCTTGGTCCGTCTTTGCTCCCCACTGCCATGGCATGAGCTCTTTCTCCTCTGCCATGCCATCTGCCTTGGAGCCAGCTGGCTATGGACTGAAACCTCTACAAACTGTGAGGGAGAACAAATTTTTCCTCCATTAAATTCTACGGATCAGGTATTGTGTCCTAGCAATGAGAAAGCAAATAAGACTTTTGCCAGCTCTATTTTATTCCTGAGTAGAGGAAGTTAATTAAGGAGGAGCAGATGTATACCTTAGTTACAGACTAAGAAAACTATGGCCCCATTTGTAGTTAACTGAAGACTATGACAATAATTCTTCAGGACAAAAGGATAAGTTTGTATGCCTGGAATCATTCTTAAACATCTGGGGCTGGGTAGAGAGCATGGAAGCAATGTGTTAAGCAAAGTAAAACTCAAACCATATTTAAGTTCTTTCACTTCCCACCAAGGATAAAAACAGTTACTGTAGCACTGTTTAGAAATATTTTGTGCAGGCTTGATACCTGTTATGACTTGTGTCTACATGTCCCCTAAAAGACTCATGCAGTCACAGGTGGCGCTTTTTCAGAGATGGCTGAATCTAGAATGTGTGACTGATTCATGGTGCAATGCTAGAATTAAGGATGCCAGGACTAAGGGTGGGTAATTACTAAATCAGTGCACTGATTGGTTTGGCACCACCATAATCCCAGTAGCCTGGATACAATATAAGGGATGGAAAGAGGCTTGTCTTGCCCCTTGTTGCTTTGCTGCCTTCTGCCCACCATGAACTGTTTCTCCTCTGTGATGCCACCCTGCCTTGGAGTTAGCCTATGATGGACTGAAACTTCTACAAACTGTGAGCCAAATAAACCTTTCCTCCTTTATCTTTGGGTGTTGGGTATTTTCAGCAAGAAGAGAAAAGTAACTGAGACAATACCTACAGAAAACTGTCCAATAATTTAAAAACAAAAGTCTGCCTCTGCTTACAAAGCCACTCCTCAAAGACCTGTCGTCTTTGATGGTAATCTTGTGGTCTTCCTGCCATTTTTATCTAGCGAAGTCTTCAAGAGCCTGAAGCTCACATTTTTGAAGTCAGTGCTCTCCCACACACCAAGAAGGCCTGAAGGAAGTTTGTGAGCAAGGAAAGGTTCCTATCACTTAAGTCTATAAGCTCAAAAGCCAAAGTTGAGGGCAACTCTGCCTGCAAGTGTCCCTTTCCTGTCTTGCTTCTCTAATTGCTGAGTCACCCATTAAGTACATATAGTGGACCCATTGATCCTTCCAAGACTCTTTCCATAGGATAAGTGTTGGTTCACAATTTCATTGGATATGTATTACCTCAGAATTTGCAGTATAAGTTGTGTTACATTTGGAAGTTGGAAAGAAGAGTCAAGAGCCACTGTAGAGGAAGGATCCTCCTGTTCACAAGCCCTGTGATGTGGTTGGATCATATTGCATTCTTCCTCACAGCTGGATAGGAGTCAAGTTTAATGCCCATGTAATAAAGATTTTTACCCAGCAGGTGGGAGTAATTACACACAGCTCAGATTTCTAGGCAGCAAATTCCCCTCAAGTTTGTAATCCCCCTGAACATAGTCCTAGATACCACAAATTTTTGAACCCTCAATTTGCTAACTTGTTCTCCAATTCTCAAGACACATGTGATCAATCATAGCTGGAGTCTTGAGTTTATGTCCCAATCAAGTTTTGCTGAAGATAGGAGGAACTGTTAAATATTTCCCCTGGATACAAAGGCTTTCATTGTCATTTCTAGTTGTCCCAATGTTTGTCTTTTTAAAAACATTTTACAAAACTAGAGTGATGTTGTTTTTTAGATTTTTTATTCTATGTTTTCAGTCTGAAAATACAATTATTTTACCATAAGCTAGAATTTGCTACAATGTCATTTTCTGTATTTGAGCTAGATTTCTATCTGTGCTTGGGAAATACCAACACAACCAAATCCACTGTGAAACATTTTTACATACTCTCACAAAACTAAGATGACTCATCTGTTTTCTTTTGTCTAATACTGTGGCAATTTTCAGGTACACATTAAGTTACCAGCATTCCATGATGTTGGATAAAATATTTTCTGAGATCATAGTTTCTTAAAATATTAATTTAATGAACATATGTATATAGTTTATGGAGACAAGTCTTGTACATGACTAACTCAATTAATATGTCATGAACTTTGCTTCACCTTGAAAAGTTGAGAGAAGTGATGCATATATATTTTACTTTAGTAGATTCACATTCTAAAATGTAATGAACAGAATTATTTTTATCTTTTCTGGCACATTTTTTGAACCATTCCTGTCACAGAGATTGACTAGATGATTACTAGATGTGTTTTCTCTTTCTGAGCACAAAGCCAACCTGTATTTCCCAAATTCTCTACACCTAGGATGGGGACCATGTGGCTAATTCTGGCCAATGGAATGTGAGCAGAAAGTAACCGCCACTTCCAAACCAAGGTAGTAAAGAATGTGTGTATGGTGGTGGGCATTGTATGTGTGTCTCTTCTTTTTTTCTCCTTCCTTCTCTTTGTCTTACTAAGTTTCCCAGGCTACCATTAAATTTGCAATTCTCTTGCATTAGCCTCCCCACTACCTAGGATACAGGTGTGTGCTATTACACCTGGCCATGCACGTACTCATTCTTCCTACAGTATACTGACTGTACAGTATCAAAATAACTTTGAAGCCATGTGTTGAGGATAAAGGAGTCATCACTTTCTGTAATAGCAGGAGAAGAATGAATTGCTGAGTCACCTTTGGAGGAAAAATCCAATCAAGAACAACTGAGCTGAAGTTTAAACTAAAAAGATACAAGTTTTTGTTGTAATAAAACACTGAGATTGAGGGGGTTAATCTTCACAGTAG